TACAGTGCCACAATGATTGGATGAGACCATGCAAATAGGGTGTATACAACTCCATCATCAGGATTGGTTAGTTTTGCCTTTCCACTAGGCTTAGAAGGAGCCATCTCAGAAGCAGGAACAGAGGATCCCATGACTATCAAGAAAGAAGAGCATGGGCAAAGCATGAGATCCCTACTTAGAAAAGCAGTGATAGAGAGAGACAGAGCAGCTGTGGGCTTCTGGGCCCATGGACTGAGTAAAGCTGAGAGCCTATAGGCAGGAAGCTGGCTTGCAGAATGCGCCCTTTGGACATTTAGACTGGCTAAAGGAGTTTTGTGGAGTCCTAGTGTGGCACTGTGGGTTAATGAACCAGACTGCAAAGCCATTTGAACTGCAAGGTCGGCGGTTCACACTCACCAGCTGCTTCTCGGAAACCCTATACAGGGTCGTTATGGGTCGCAACCAACTTGATGGCACTTCACAACAACAACAAAGGAGTTTTGTAACCCTTGTCCAAGTAGAGCAGAGGCTGAGGAGCCACATGACTGAGAGGCCAAAGACAAGAGTGAGGCATGCCTCAGTACAGCAAAAAGACGCATTCCTGACTGGTGAACTACTGCGTCCTGAGTTGTTTCTGATCCTGAATTGCACCCTGTTCACTGGTAAGCCCTATAATTGTGAATATTATCTATGAGTTCTGTGTGGCCATTGCAACTGATTATAGAACCCAGATGTGAAACAGCAAGTGTTGTGGGAGGGATGGTTGGTGTTAGATTAGGGTAAAGAAGGTTGTAGGGTGGAGGCATGTCTGATCTCTTTTCAGGAATTGATCTTGGGCAGATTTGAGTTTGACTTATTTCCCTTTTGGAAGAGGAAGTCAGACATGGCCTCTACACCATTTTTTGTTTTGTTTTTTGCAGAGTCCAAGTACCCTGAGGCAAAAAGTACATCTTTAAGCACTATGCTACATTGCTCATTTTGGAGCCAAAATAAGAGGCATTGAGAGAAAAAACAATTTTAGTAGGATTTGTGCCACATGCACGCATAATTATAAAAGGATGATTTCATGTTGGTTTCACATTTGCTCTATAATATTTGAAAACATGATAAAACTAACATATGATGCTTAAGGCAAGTTTAAAAATACAAGAAAGGAAATAAAACCCAGTAAGATTTTCCCATTGAGAAAATTTCTCACTGGAAATATAGCCAAGACCTTTACCTTATTTTGATAAATATATTTAAATATTTTTAAATTTGTTGACACAACAGCCACAGAAACACAAGTCTGCTTAATTGACATAGATAGAACAGGTAGATGGAAAAGTTTATTTATTTATCATCTGGTGACCCAAGAGGCAAAACCAAACCAAAGCAACCTGGCAAAGTTGGACAAAGCCGATAACTAACAGTTCATATTTTTTTTAAAATTTGATTTTGTTGTTGTTGCTAATATACACAGCCAAACATATACCAAGCCAACATTTCTACAAGTACAATTTAGTGACATTGATGACATTTTTTTGTTATGCAATCATTTCATCCTTCTTTTCTGAGTTGTTCCTCCCTCATTGATGTAAACTTACTATTCCCTAGTGAGTTTGGTTGTTTTAGAAAGCTTATATCAATTTTTTCAAGTTGCTGTTGTCAATTTGATCCCATATGGATAGTTCTAAAAAGAGCATAGTGCTTAAGACATATTTTTACAAGTTAAGCTAAACTAGGGTTCAGTATTAAGATGATTCCAGGGTATATTTTAAGATATAAATGTTATCGAATTTTAGGGGTACATCTACCCTCCATGGCTCCAGAGTCTAGAGTCCATGAGAATTTGAAATTCTTTTTTGTATTCCCCCCAACTTTGATCAAGATCTTTGCTCAAAATTTTCAGTAATGGTAGCCAGGTGCCATGCAATTCTGGTCTCTTGGCAAGGAAACAGTTGTTCATGAAGGCAATTAGTCACACATTCCTTATCCTCTTATTCTTGACTTTCCTTTTCCCTCTGTTGCTCCAGGTGCATAGTTGTGTCTTGGATGGCTGCTTGCAAGCTTTTACGACCGCAGGCATTAACCAAAAAACTGGGTAGAAAAGATGCACTGAGCATGTTAGTAGGCCAATTAACTGGGATGTCCTATGAAACTATGACCCTAAACCTTCAAACCAAGGAACTAAATCCCACGAGATGTGTGTTTATACGTAAGTACCCTCAGCAGCCACTCTATTGTAAATATATCTATCACACAACGTTTGTCAATTCAGCTTTTTACAGGTGCATAACTAGCAATTACAATACAGCTGCGCAGCCCTACCCTTAATCAATGCAATGTTTCTATCACCATTAACCCTTTTCCTCCTCCTTCCTACTTCTATTAAGCTTTGGTCTCGATACATTCGCCATTTTTGTATTTTCCTGTGAGATTCTTTTGTGATTGGCTTATAGCATGATGTCTTCAAGATCCATCCATACAGTAGCATGCATCAAGATTTCATTTTTTCCTACTGGCTGCATTGGAGAGCAGTTGTCTAATAAGCACTGGACTATGAACCACAGAGTTCGCAGTTCAAGCCCACCAGCTGCTCTACAGGATAAAGATGAGGCTTTCTGCTCCCACAAAGATTTACTAACTTAGAAACCCTATACAAGGTCACTATGAGTTGGAAGTGATTCGACAGCACTTAATTGGCTGAATACTATTCCATTGTGTCTCTCTCTGTCTCTTTGTCTCTCTCTGTCTCTCTCTGTCTCTGTCTCTGTCTCTCTCTCTCTCTCTCTCTCTCTCTCTCTCTCTCTATATATATATATATATATGTTATATTTTGCTTATCCATTCTTCTGCTGATAGGTATTTAGGCTGCTTCTGTGAATAGTGCCACAAAGAACATTGGTATACAAGTTTGTTTTGGGGTCTCTGCTTTCAAGTCTTTTGGGAGTGGAGTTACAGGGTCATATGAACAGTATAGACTTTTGTGAGGTTCAGAATTCTATTGGTTTTCTTTGATTGCATTAACACACACACACACCCTGAAAAAAAACAACATATACCGAATTCACCGGGTGGAGACCTCTCTGTTGGAACATTAGCCATTGTCGTGGATTGAACGACAAAATATGTATCAAGTTGGCTGGTCATGATTCTCAGTGGTTATGTAATGATATGACCATCCTTCATGATGGAATCAGCCAATCAATCATGAAGGGGTTTAGGGTGGATATTGAATAAGAGCATTGGTCCTGACTCACGTCAAGCCCTGATCTGAAGTAAGGGTAATTTCCCTTGGGTGTAGCCTGCATCACCTTTTATCTTACAAGATGTAAATGGAGAGAGAAAAGAGCAGAGGGACCTCAGTACCACCAAGAAAGAGCTAGGAGTGGAGTGCATCCTTTGGCCCTAGGGTCTCTGTGCAGAAAACCTTCTAGATCCAGGGGAATATTGATGCCAGGATACAGATCTCCAAGGAATGCCAGACCCACATATGTTGAAAGGAGCAATGGAGAAAGAAAGCCTACGCTAGTGCCTTGAGTTTGAACTTCAAGCCTCCTATACTGTGAGAGAACGAATTGTTTTTTTAAAGTCATCCACTGTTGGTATTTCTCTTATCTTTAAGTGCCACTGAGTTGGATCCAACTCATAGCAACCCTGTATATGGTTCCCAAGGAGCAGTTAGTGGGCTTAAACCACTGACCTAGCAGTTAGCAGTCCAGCGCTTATCCTATAGCGCCACATCAGGACTCCATGGCAGCACTAAATAACTAAGACAGCCATTATTATTTTAAAGTTTTCGCAATTTTGCAAGATACTGTGAGAATATACTGGCACTACATGAAAGAGATGGTGGTTTATTGAAGTGTTCCTTGCCACCAGCAGTAAATATGGCTAAACAGAAGACACCGAAACAGAGACATAAACAGAGAGTGGGCAACCTAACCACTTAACCGATGCAGGCACCTTGAAGAATTCCTCGGCTATAACTAAGTTTATATTTTTTTCTTATATCTATGAAACTGCAATTTTATCATAAACAGTACCTTGGATCTTTTTTCGAAACAAAACAAAAGTAACAACAATGAAGTGTAGAATACACACAATCTATCTAGTATCCAACAGACAATCTATGCTCTAATAAGAAATATCTTTCGATACTACGGGTTTGGACTTCCATGATCATTTTTTCAGAAGACTTATTGTATACATGTTTCTTAGGCAACACACACTTTATATAAAATATAAGAATTCATGTACATTCTCAAGATCAGATTCAGGGACAAAATGTATTAACTGAATCTATTAACACATTTATTCCTTTAACTGTACATAAGAAATAAAGGCTGCATTTTTTATGTTCCATGCAGTAAATGTTCAGAAAACACAAGCAAACAACTAGACAAACTTCACTTACTACAATTAGCCTTTCCAGTCGCAGCAGCTTTGTCAATAAATGTATAAGCACTAATAGTTGCATCAAAATCATGCTAGGCTGTTAATCCTGGAGGACTGGTCACAAGGCAAGTGTGATGACTGTGAATTTTCTACTTGTTTAGATAAGGGATGGAGACTATTTTCTCTTCACATGGCTTTTCCCTATACTACTGGTTTTGTTAAAGAGGCATTCAGTCTTCAAATGAAAACAACTGACCTTTAGTGAAAATGCTGAGAAATGCCTCTGTCGAATTTCTGATCATTGGAACACCTTGCTACAGGTTTTTAAGGCATATGCCAGGAGTCAAAGAAATTGTAGAACAGTCTCAGAATGTAAACAATAAAATCGAGGACCAGAGTTACATCCCTTGATAAAAGCTCTTCTCCAGAACACCTATTTGGATAACACCAGCTTCTTGATTTCTAAAGTTAATATGAATTTTATGTTCTCGAAGCATTTCACATTTTTCCCTTTCAGAGACTTCTGGAGTGCTAAAAGTTCATAATGTTGCCTTTTAAAACAACCCCACAACAACTACATAACATGGAGAAGCAACTCAAATGCCAAGTCGTTTTGAGGTTTATTTTTGTTTGTTTGACTTTTACATTTTACTTTTGTGACTGGCATATGGAAAACCAAACTGAGAAATCATAATGTTGGAGTATTTTAAGGGCATGCTGTCATAGATCTTAACAAGCTTATTTATACAGTAAGACCTCTGCAGAAAGTGCTCAGCTCGATGCCACATTCCAGAATAGCCACTGTTGGTTTCTTTTTCTAAGTTGAACATGTTTTCAGGTTTCACAAATATCCCTGATGTCTTCCCAGTGTGCTTGGCGATGATAAAATTGATGGCAATATCATCACAGTTTTGAGTTTCATCCAACAAAGCATGGACAGCTGCAGGTTGCTTCTGAAAGAGTTCAAGATATTTGCTGTTGAAGAATGAAGCGCCAATCAAAACCAGAGAGTACTGGTCACCAGTCTGAAACCCTGGTATCTGCAGTTCAAAACCTCCATAACTGTAGATGCCTGATGAAGTGGAAACATGTTTTCTAGGAACAAATCCTACAATTTGATCAGGAAATTGCTGAAAAGAGTGAAAAAAAAAAGCAATTAAGTGTGGTTTTCCTTTAGGATAGACATGATCAAGAAAGCAAGGACTTTCATCACAGAGAGAAATAAATTGGTCGGTCCATTTTATTACATTTCTACATCTCAATGCCATCTAATTCCAAGCAACTTCATAAAACTGTGATCTGATAAGCTTACAAGTCAAATCCCTTCACAATCCAAATTTTATCACCTCACAAATATTCTCCCAATTCAAATGTTATCGGATATTAACAAATTCTAGTCATCAAAGAAGGAGGGAGCCCTGGTAGCGTCGTGCATTATGAGCTATCTGCTAACTGCAAGGTCAGCAGTTCAAATCTACCAGTCATTCTGTGGGAGAAAGATGAGTCTTTCTGCTCTTGTAAAGATGTATAGCCTTGGACACCCTGTACAGGGTCACTATGAGCCAGCACCAACTTGGTGGCACACACCCACCACCACCAATTAGCCAAGAAGCCAGGTCCTCAAGGTTTTTGCTACAGGAGACACTGAGTGTATGAATGCCATTTATTGTAGGGGATAGTAAGATTTAGTGTGCTTGCTCTGGAAAATTCTCTTAGTCTCTTTGTTGTTAAGTGCCGTAGAGTCAATTCTGACTCATAACGACCTTGTATGGGTTTCTGAGGCTTTCAGTCTCTGAGGGAGCAGAAAGCCTTATCCTTCTTCCATGGAGCAGATAGTGGGCTTGAACCATGGGCACTGTGGTTTGCAATCCAGTGCTTAGTCTCTTACAGACATACAGTATTATGATTTATTTGTGTTTCCATGCTGATTTCAATGTTCTTGAAAGTTATTGGTGATTTTAAGCAATAAAGTTAAATCATATTTAATCCCTTGCTAAAAAAATCAAAACAAAAAAAAAATAAGGCATCTGTTACAAATAGTTAAAATAAAGAATATATGGCAGTAAACTAAAAATAAAACAAAAATCAGCAAACAAGTAAGTAAGTAAAGACAATGAAGCATGGGAAAAATTTAAGAACTTAAAGAGCTAACCGGTTTCATGTAATTTCATCAATTATTGGTGTTTCATTAGCGTAGTGCTCAGCAATTCGAAACTACCAGCTGCTCTGTGGAAGAAAGATGAGGCTTTCTGCTCCCGTAAAGATTATAGCCTCGGAAACCCTGTACAGGGTCGCTATGGGTTGGAACTGACTCCACGGCACATAACAACAAAAACAACTTATTTCTTGAACAGACACTGAACTAGGAACACACAAAAAAATTGGCTGGGTTAAACTTAATTTCAAAAAACTCATAGTCCAGAGAGGAATACAGTTTACAAACAAGGAATTCTAATGCTGGGATAAAGTTGTAAATGTTGTTGTTGTTAAGTGCCGTCGAGTCGGTTCCGACCCATAGCGACCCTGTACAGGGTTTCCGAGGGTATAAATCTTTAAGGGAGTGGCTGGTAGTTTCAAGCCGCTGACCTTAAGGCTCGCAGCCCGATTTGTAACCACTACGCTACCAGAGCTAAAGTTGTAAATACTACTGGGTAAAATCTGATGGGAGCACTAAGAGATAGAAAAACAACTACTGTATTGCTGGGAGGGAAACAGAAAAGTCAGAGGATGGGAAATAAAGGCTGGGAGGTTTCAGAGGGGATACCCATTTATGGAGTACTGGTGGCATAGCAGGCTAAATATTGGGTTGCTAACCACAGGTTCAGTGGTTCCAATCTACCAGAAGCTCCAAGGATGAAAGATGAAATAGTCTACTCCCCGACAGATGTACAGGCTCAGAAGCACTGGCTCCCTATGAGTCAGAATCGACTTGACACCAGTGAGTGAGTGCGTTGAAGAGGATGAAGGAGAAGAATATCATGTTTGGTAAGGTGGAGGGTCAGAGAAAAAGAGGCAGACCCTCAGCGAAATGGATTGGCAAAGTGGCAGCATCAATGGGGTCAAGCATGGCAACAATTGTGAGGTTGGCCCAGGACTGGGCAGTGTTTCATTCTGTTGCGCATAGGGTCACTATGAGTCGATACTGACTCGATGGCACCTAACAACATCAGATGAGGAATGGTGCAAATAAGTTACTAGATAGGTTGGCAGTTCAAACCCACTCCAAGTTGTGTTAGTAGAAAGGCTTCTGAAGGATCACAGTCTGGAAATCCCTATGGAGCAGTTCTATTTTGCACAAATGCGGTTGTTAGGAGTCAGAGTGAACTCCATGGCAACTAACAACAGCCACTACTGATGTGGAGATCATGGGTTAAGTGGGAAAGCACAGGTCTGTTTGCAGTCTATTCTAATTCTAGTCATCAAAGAAGGAGGGGTCTGCCTACATACACCAAATTACAACATGTGGACACTGGGGGCACTGGTTGGACTGATTTTCAGAAGGCAGATAATGCTCAGGCTATGGATTATAACTGTTCTTAACAATTTCATGAATAAAACCTAAATTCCTATTTTCAAAACAAAAAACAAAACTCATTGCATAGAGTTCATTCCAGTTCACAGCAACCATATACAGGATTTCCAGGGCTGTAAATCTTTACAGGAGGAAACTCCTTCATCTTTTTCCCGCTGAGAGACTGAAGGGTTTGAACTGCTGACTTTGTGGTTAATAGTTTAGTGCTTATCCTACAGTGCCACCAGGGCTCCTATATTCATACTTCCTGTTGTTGCTATGTGCCATCCTGTCAGTTCTGACTCATAGTGACCCTGTATAGGGTTTTTGAGAGCTGCTGGTGGGTTTGAACTATTGACCTTTTGGTTACCAGCCTAGTGCTTAACCTACAGACCACACCAGGGCTCAAATTCATATCTGTTCTTGTGTGTTGTTGAGAGCGTTGCAACTCACTGGGACCCTATATAGGGTTTCCAAGGTTGTAAATCTTTATACAAGCAGAAAGCCTCATCTTTTTTCCTTGGAGTGGCTGGTGGATTCAAACTGCTGACCTTGTGGTTAGCAGTTCAAAGTGTAATCCAGTACCCCACCAGGGATCGTTCAAATTCATAGTTCGTCATCTTTAATCATGGCCTACTCAGATTGTTCTAATGAACCACACAGTGTTTACATGTTTTTTGCCATTACGAACTGGGCTGTGAACCTCAAGGTCAGCAGTTCAAAACTACCAGCTGTTCCGAGGGAGAAAGATGACGCTTTCTGCTCCCGTAAAGATTTACAGCCTTGGAAACCCTGAACAAGGTTGCTTTGAGTCGGAACCGACTCCATGGCACATAACAACAACAACAATATTTTGGTAAATTGAATTTTTACTTTAAATAAAAACCTCTCTGCTTAAGTATTACTTTAGAACTCTTTGTCTAAGAAGCTTTTATTTACAGGAACTTAAAAACTGCTGATATGGAAAAAAAAATCAATTTTTGATCAGTACACCAGACATGAAGTTAACTGAAGTTTTAAAAACGCTGGTATCTGCAGAATACAGTGATCACTTACTATTAATAACTCACATGGTTTTATCCCAAGTAGCTAATTAAGTCAAGTTACTATAACACAAATTAGACCATTTATTGGGAAGCACAGTATTTAATTATTTGAGAAGGCTTCAGGGTATTTGTATGCTGTTCTGGTTTCAGGTCATTGTAGTGCAATTTGTAAAAGCCAGCTATAAAAAACCCATATTCAGTAGCAGAAGAATTGTTTTTATAGAAGAGCAAGCAATGTATATCTGGTTATCCCAGTCTTTGTTGTTAATTGCCGTTGAGTTGGTTCTGACCCATAGCAACCCTGTATAGGATTTCCAAGGAGCAGCTGGTGAAGTTGAACCACTGACCCACCAGTTGAAACTGATTTTGCAGTCTAGTGCATTAACCCACAGCACCACACTAGGATTTAGAAAATTAAAAACTTGACATGATCAAAATTAAAAACAAAAACAAAAACTTGACATGATCGTGGCACAGGAAGAATTTTCACTGTCATGTTTTTAAAGAGATTGCTGTTGCTGTTGTTAAGTGCCATCAAGTCGATTCTGACTCATAGCGATCCTGTACAGCGTTTCCAAGGAGCAGCTGGTGGACTTAAACCACTGACCTTGAGATTCAACCTGACCTGGTGGTCCAGTGATTATCCTACAGCGCCACACCAGAACTCCAAAGAGACTATAGAACCAGGATTAAATGCTATGAATAACTGCTTTCTTTTTTTAAAAAAAATTATATATGAGTACAGAAACACACTTCTCTTTGATACCCGTGTCTGCGACCCCGTGGAAAATATCTGTGCATTTTAGCCTTTGCTACACAGATCATGCACCAGACTGCAAAGCCATTTGAACTTCATGGTTGGTGGTTCAAGCTTACCAGCTGCTCCTCGGAAACCCTATACAAGGGACGCTATGGGTCGGAATCGACTTGACAGCACTTAACAAGAACAACACAGATCATATTCTCATTCTTCTCAGAAAGGTGGAGTTCTAGCTCTTCTGATATACCAAAATATAAATCAAATATAGCTAAAAGATGCCATAACAGGTCTGACTTTCAACACAGGAAATCTTAATTACCCTATAACAAATTCATTTTTCAAACAGATCAATTTTATAATGCTTTAGGTAATTGTCACATTAAACCATGTTGTCCTGTTTAAGGACTAAATAAAACTTTGTATAGATGATTTTATACAGGGTATATAACAGCATTACCTGCCAAACAGAGAAAGCAAAAATGAGATCCTGGGCACTAATTAGCATGTCATCGTCTACCATTAACACCGCTGAAACGAAAGGAAAAAAAAAACTACTTCAATTCATGTTTGGAAATGAAAAACAAAATTAGTAAGATACAACAGTGTCATTATACAAGTCATTCAAATGATGTATTTGTTGATCTAATTAGTAAATAAGAAGTGTATTCTTGGAGAGATTGGTCTAGCAAAAAGGTTATTTAAACGGTAATTAATTTTATAACTTCATGAGAGGAATATTATTATCTAGTTATCATCCATCATCCTAGAAACTAATGAAACTGAATGAACAGCACCAAGATGCTTTTAAGCAAATTATAACTTCATGCAACTGGCCCTGAATGGGGTGGAAAGGGTAGTAGCAGAAGATACATTAAATATAAGCAAAATAGCATTTTGCTACATTCTATAACACAGTAATAATGTAATTGTAGTGTATCTTTTCCTATAATATTAACCTTCCTCATTATTGTAATCTGTATGTAATTTCTTCCCTAGAGAACTGCTTCAAAACACCTTGGAAATTGTCTTCAAACATTTCAAAGTGCTTTCTTATTATTAGTTCCTCCTATTTTTCTCTAGACAGTTAAGTAGAGGACCAGAAACCAGCAATCTTACCCCCAGCTCTGGTTATTTCCACCCTTGCAGGTTGAGAACCCAGCTGCAACTTACCACTGGTTTCCAATTCAGGGAAGACCTGGAGTCGATTTCTCATTCTGTTTGCTGTCTGTACTTTGAAGATCACAGGGACAGGGTGAGGTCCTAGAGAATTCCATAATTCATCTGGTACCTTTTCTCCAATGTTGTTCCACACAACAATCACTTTGTGCAGATGTGGGATTGCCTGATAGTGATTTAAAAGTCTCAACAAGAGATCTGTTCTGTTGTACGTCTGCATTATGAGAGTGAAGGAATCCATGGTGGACTTGCCTTGGGATTTTATCTCCCTACGCATCGTGAGCATCTTGTCTTCTTTGATATTAGGAAGCAAATTAGTCAAAGCACCAGCTACCAGTAGTAACACAAGGATAACCACCAAAGAGAAACGAAGCACTCGGATTCCCATCACTCTCCCAGGAAGTTTGCAGATGTGGCAACACCTATAGAAGAAATTAAAATACAGAGCATTATCATTTTCACTAGGCACCATGTTGCTGTTATCTTTTTCTTTAAAAACAAAACAACTTTTTATTGTGAACTGAGTGAAAGTTTACAGAGCAGATCATCAGTTTCAAGTGCAGCAAATCATATACTTTGCTCCATCACAATGAATGCAATCGCGTCTATGTACCAACAGTTAACATTACCTACTTCTATTCTCTTTAACTAAAGAGCTCTGGTAGCAAATTGGTTACGAATCGGGCTGTGAACCGCAACGTCAGCAAGTCGAAACTATCAGCTGTTCTACGTGAGAAAGATGAGGCTTTCCGCTCCCATAAAGATTTACAGCCTCGGAAACCCTATACAGAGTCGCTATGCATCGGAACTGACTCCACGTCACATAACCACCACCATTCTCTTTAACTATTGCATTACACCGTGTGTCTCCTACTACATTCATCTCTCCTCTGCTAACTTCCTTCTTCTTGTATATTGCCTGCCCCTAACTTCCTTCTTCTTGTATATTGCCTGTCCCATCATCCATGTTAACATATGTCTACCCTCTAGGCCATGAATGATTTTCCTTCCCTGCACCCTTGTAAACATCATTGGTTATTTATTTTATTAAGGAAAACTTTTCTTAACTTTTTACGTTGTTCTCATGATGTTTGTCCTTTTAAGACGGACTAATTACATTCAGCATACTGTCCTCCATGTTTATCCATATTGTGAAGTGTTTCTAAGATACAGCATTATTCTTCAATGTTGCATAGTACTCCATTGAATGTATGTACCAAAGAGTAACCATTCTTCTGTTGATGGGCATATAGGCTGTCTCTATCATTTTAAAATGTCTCTTGTAGATAGCATATTGGAGGATCATGACAAGCTATGGACAACATTGTGGAGAATGAGTATTCTAGAACACACAATTTTGCTCACAAGGAACCTATTCATAGACCAAAAGTCAGTCATTAGAACAGAACAAGTGGACACTGAATGGTTTAAAATTAGGAAAGGTGCTAGGGCTGTATTCTTTTGCCATACTTATTAAATCTGTATGCTCAGCAAGTAATCTGAGAAGCTGTACTATATGACATAGAGCGTGACATCAAGATTGGAGGAAGACTCATCACCAACCTGCAATATGCATAATATGATGCAATCTTGCTTGCTGAAAGTGAAGAAGACTTAAAATGCTTACTGAGGAAGATCGAAGACCACAGTCTTTGGTATGAGTTGCACCTCAATGTAAAGGAAACACAATCCTCACCACTGGACCAATAAACAAGATAAATATAGAAAAGGTTGAAGCTGTCATGCACTTCATTTTGCTTGGATCCACCATTAACACTCAAACAACAGTCAAGAAATCAAATGATCTACTGCACAGGGCAAATCTGCTGCACAAGACCTCTTTAAAATGCTCAAGATCAAAGATGTCAGGTGTGCCTGACCCAAGTCATGGTATTTTCAATAGCGTCACATGCATGTGAAAATTGGACAAGTAGAAGATTGTAAAAGAACTGATGCATCTGAGTTATGTGTTGGAGAATATTAATAGTACCATAGTCTGACAGAGAACAAGAAAATCTGTGTTGGAAAAAGTTCAGCCAGAATGCTTAGAAGCCAGCATGGCCAGACTTCATCTCTCAGACTTAGGGTATAATATCAGGAGGAACCAGTCCCTGGAGGACATCATGCTTTGTAAAGTGGAGAGTCAGCGAAAAAGAAGGAGACCCTCAACTAGATTTATTGGCACAGTGGCAGCAGCAATGGGCTCAAGGGCAGCAATGATTCTGAGATTGGTGCAGGACCGGGGGCAGTGTTCCTTTCTGTTGTGCGTAAGGTCGCTATGAATCAGTACCAAATCGATGGCACTTAAAGATAAATTTGATGCTGTTATTTTGCTGTTTTTTTTTTCCCACATAGTTTTCTGTGCTGAATTTATTTTGTTTGTGGGCTTCCTTTACATTTCTGTTATAGAAACCTTTCTGGTTTCCTTTTTTTTTTCATTTTGATGTGCAGGTGTATTAATTATCTTTGACGTTATTCCATATATTTATTATTCTTTCCTTATTTAAAACAGTCTGTCTTATCTTGAAATCTGCTTGACTTCCTAGGCATTCAGATGTTCTGTATTTACACTATTCTCTCTGTTTGCTTTGTAGTTGACTTCATTATATACTGATATTTCTGGGTCCCTGTTTTCAGTCTTATAGGTTTGTTTTACTGGAAATACTTCTAGATCTGAATTCAGTTCTGGATGATGTTGTCATGATGATAATTTCAGGTTGCTGTCTGCTGTGTTGGTTCGGAGTCCAAAGAACACACTTTTGCACTTTTTTTCTAAAAAAATCTGATCTGGTCACAAATTCTTTTATCTTTTTATCAGGAAATGTCATAATTTCATTGTTGTATTTGAGGGACAGCTTTGCTGGGTATATGATTATTGGTCAGCAATTTTTTTCTTTCAGAGTTTTGTATATGTCATCCTATTGTCTTCTTGCCTGCAGGGTTTCTGCTGAGAAATCAGAGCTTAATCTTATTGGTTCTCTCTCTCTTTTTAAGTTTTTATTATGAATTGAGTGATAGTGTACATGGAGAACATCAGCTTTACACTCATCCTATTGTATTTTGTTTCACTGCAATGATTACAATCCATCCTTCCATGCATCATCACTCAACAGTACTTACTTCTATTCCCAATGTTTGTTTGTTTGTTTTTTTTGGGGGGTGTGTGTGGAGAATGTACACCAAAACACTCAGGAATATATAATTATTCAAACAACCAAAGGGCATACCCTGCAAACCTGCCCCCCCAGCCACCAACACCCAACCCCTCTCCCTCCATGAGTCTAGAGTCCCCAGCCACTCCGTCTTTCCACGTCATCATCTCTGCCTCCTTCTCTGGCATCATTGCTTCTCTGAATAGAGTCCCACACTCCACTCTGGCTCTTCTCCCTTTATGGTCCAGGGTTTTCCACTCCTGGACTGCAAGATCATATTGTTTCTCTTTTGTAGGTGACTTTTTGTTTTTCCTGAGTTTCCCTCAGGAATTCTTTTGTTTTCTAAAGTTTGATTCTAAGTATCTTGGTGATTTTCTTTGGGGATCTATATTGTTTAGGGTTTGTGCAGCAGCTTATATACTTTATCTTCTCATTTTTCATGACATTAGGGGAGTTTTCTTCCAACAAGTCTTAGACAATTTTCTCTGTTTTTTACTGTCTCTTACTGTTCTGGAATTCTGATCTCACGTAATCTGTCCCTCTTAATGATGTCCCATATAACTCTAAGGCTTTCTTTGGATTTTTCATTATTTTTTCTGATTTTTCTTCTAGTATACGAATATTGAGAGATTTATCTTCAAGTTCACTAATTTGGGCTTCCATTGCTTTGAATCTAACTCCTTTTTGCCCTTTCAATGGATTGTCCATTTCTGAAATCTTAATATTAATCTTCTGGATTTCTAATTGCAGATTTTCTATTGTTTCAAATTTTGTGTTTATGTTTGTTCTTGTAGTGTTTTCTTGAATTCTTCTAAAGTTTTTTTGTGTTCTTGTTTTCCTTGATCTTTCTGTCACTCTTTTGTAGATATCTAAATATCGTTTTGAATTATTTTTTAGTTAGTTCCATTATTTTTTTCTTCCTACAAAACATTTTCTGGCTCTGCATCTTGGTCATTTGTTTGGATCATTCTCTCTTGTTTTTCATGTGAATTAAAATTATCTGTTGTCTCTGGGGCATTGTGGGGTTGTTGTATTTGTATTAATTGGTTATTGTGTATTGATGTATTCTTAACACTCTCATCAACTGTCTCCTGTGGATGTAGTCAGAGAATAGAAGTGTGTCCACCGTTCTCGTTTGCCACGTAGTTTAGAGTGAATTTGGCTGGTATTGACTGCTGTCTACCATTGATCAGGTGATATAGGAGCTGGTAGTATAGCTATTGTCCCGTGGGTGGGTCTGCAAGTGGTCTGGTTGTAACTGGGCTGTATGGGCAATGTTGCTGTCTTGATCAGATCAGAAAGAGAAATACCCCTCATACACACACACACACA